TTCCAACTTACGGGTAATAAGTGATAACATAGAGTGGGGTTTTTTTGGGGGGTGTTGTTATTGTTCATCATAAAAGATGCTTGACTTTACATTAATGAGTTTAATTAGGCAGAGTGAGACAGTACAGTTGGTCTTGATTTATGATGTTTAAGTCACAATTTTTCAACCTTATAATGGCATGAAAGCAATGTGGATTCAGTAGAAACTGAACTTTGAATTTCGAATTCTGACATTTTCCTGGTGTGTTACTTTCTTGCCATACTGGGAAGTGGTAGTGAGCAGCAGCTACCAGTCAGCCACCTAATCATAAAGGAAACAACATTCTGCAGTGTCCATGTTGCAGTCATGCACTACGATTAAGTGTGTTAAATGCACATTTGGCTTATAACATTTTCAATCTGCCATGGGTTTATTGGGATGTAATCTCTTCATAATTCAAGGAATATATATATCTCAATACATACTTGTTGAATGATCACAATTGCATACTCATATTTTTATCACTGTGACTTTATAATGTAAATTTATAACATGAAATAGAGTCTGTTTGTAACATGACTCACTGATACACAAAATGATATACTGCTCACCACCCACCACCTCCATATTATACTGCACATAGACAAAGCCTCAGTTGAAGGAAGGTTCAGGACATCTTCAGACTCCACCGTAGGGACCCCCTCCACATCCAGTGGAGACACAAACTAAGCTGTGGCTGCATCATGCGTTATATATGAACCTAGATAGTCAGTCCCTAGTAGACTCCAAATAACCAGAAGATGCTAACAAAGCACCCTGCACAGTGATGGATTACTTTTACTCTTGTCTTCCACCATTAATAAAAATTACTCCTCTGTTCTTTCTATGTAAATTTAGCTTAGTTAGAATTTTACCTTAGGATGTGAAAAAAGATTGTATAATAGGAACTAAAAAGACATGAGAGGGGAAAAATGAAATAAGAAGAGGAGGAAGAGGAAGAGGGCAAGAAGGGAGGGAGGAAAGAAGAACATATATATGGGATAATAAAAAAGTTTTAAGAAGTCAGCTGGATAACCAAACCAGGAGTCATAATCTAGCTGTATGTAAAAATGAAAAGAGAATTATGCAGAAGTATGTTTATGTGTGTGTGGGTGGGTGGGTGGATGTATGTTTTGGGGATGGACCTATCATGAGGGTAGCCCCAACACATGCTGGTTCCATCACCCAGAATGGAAACTCTAGCCATCTTTGAGGTGTCTCCTTTCCTTTACCCTAACATCCTGTGCATTGTTAGGTTCTATGATTACCTGCCTCAACTGGGTTTCCACCAAGAGAAATCCTGAGACATGATCTCTGAACAGTGGTTTATTTGACACTGGGTCAGGGAACAGTGAGGGGAGTCGGAGCATGAAGAGAGAATGAGAACAAGCCCAGTCAATCAATGTTATCTCACTGAAACTGTCATCCTGCAAGATCTCTTGAGCAACCTGATGAAAGCATCAGAACTGTCTAAGAGGTGACTCCTGTCTACTACCGTTCAAACCTTAGTACATGGACATTAGTACCCTTATCCTTCTAGGTTGTGCATGAGACATTGCAGAGTAAATTGTTGCGGTGGTTTATGCAGCAACATCAGAGAAGACTCTGGTCAAGAGACATGAGGTGCTGGCCTGTAGCTGAGGGAGCAGCCTCCCTGTGTGCACTGCCCGAGGTAGTCAAAGTCTGTGCATAAATGGTGCCTGCAGCACTGGTCAGAATAAAGTGTGCAGCAGGAAGGGTCTGCAGTAATGACAAGAGGCAACTTCGTCATTGTCACTGTCCTAATTTAGGGCATTTCTTGCCCGAACAATTATAGTAGCAACCTAACTGAGCTGTCTGAACCTCTTTCCTTTCAAACTCACTATTGAGAGGTTGCCAGAATCTAAAAACCAGCTGATTATGTCACTCTCTTCCTTAAAAGCTTTCTTCTCTCTCATTTCTTTCTTTTTTGTTCATTTAATTCTTTTATACATTTCTGGACTCTGAAGTTTTGGTATGGAACAAGAAATAGTTTTCAAAATGATAACCAAATACCTCTCTGACCTCATTTCTCACATCTTTTAAGAAAATATTCTTTAAACTAGCCCTGATGTTTCCAATTAGAGTAGTCCAGGATTGTGTGGAATTATTTCAAAAGATACATAAATCAAGAAATTTATAACTTGAATAAGTGTGTTATAAGTTCATAAAACATAGCATGCTTTTCATCGGCTATGTAAAGAAAATGGGATATCTCAATCTCATGTAGATCTAATCTAGTTTCTTTCATGATCATTCTCTATCTCCCATCTATTAGCCATCATGGGTGTTAGTCCATAAGGAAGGAAGTGATCTTCCTCTTTTGGTTCTTTCTGGATGGAAGTCAGAAGGTATTCTTGGGGGATATGCTAAAGGAAAGAGCATGTCTGTCTGTCACTAACATGATCTCAAATTTGGGGTACTGGCCTTTCTTTTGATGAACTACAGCATGTCCTCTGATGAAAGAGCAGAACTGATCTTCAGTATCTTTGTACTATTCTTCCTCAGGACAAAGTCTCAGCAAGCTTTAAGGGAGGGACATGCAATTCTTTTACTCTACAGGTCAATAAAGCAACTCAAATAGCAGAAAGCCTGCTGATTACTTTTATTTCTATCTTGGTCTCATATAAAGGTCCCTAACATTCTAGTGTCTCATGACAGCTTCTTAATTCTTTGCCTTGATCGTCTTATCTTGTCCTTTCCCTGAAGCTCTTTCTTTAAATCTTTCCCATGTGGACACCCTCTCCACCCTACCTTGGGAAAATGTCTTCTGGCGTAGTGTGGTGGAGAGGGTGAGTTCCACATGAACTTTCTTAACAGAAAACACACCTCATCATTGTGAAATATTTAATTTTTTTCCTTTGAAAATAACTTGGTCTATTCTCATGGAGAAATACATTCCTCAGTTAAAATCACATTGAGCCTGTGAATTGCAAAGTAATAATGATAGCATTGCTGTGCTAAGCAAAGGCCATAAATTGCATGAGGGAAGATTCCTCATTAGGTGCTTTATCTGGAGCACTCAAACAACCCCAGACACTTAGCAGAATCAAATATTTTTGATGCATTTATTTATTTATTTATTTATAAGCCAAAATTTTATTTCATACTCCAAGGCATCCTCATTTTCACCTTAGCAGAGAAGAGTTCTAGCTTTATTTCTTTAAATAATCCTTAGGTGAGGATTGGGAGGAGAGAGATTTGTTTCAATTCTGCCAATGGGCTATCATCTTTAAGCGTAGCTTTGTAAAAGATTTTAGAAGTGTATCGTTAGGTGGTTTTTTGCTTTTTTAAAGGACACAGAAGCCCATAGAAGAACGTCTTTTGTCCTAGAAGCAGTGACACAATTTCATGTCATAGAATCAGTCATTGCTGACAGTTTGTGTTTTTAGTTTTACTGGTGACCGTACATCCTGTATGAAGGTACAGACCAGGAAATGAACACCACATCTCCAATGCTTGTGCTTCCCTTTGTTCTGTCTCCTGTTTTTTCTTTCATTTTCTAGATTTTTTTAATCTAAATTTTGGGAACTTTCCCTTGGCTTCTTTTTGGTATATACTTTGGTCATGTGCTATGTTCATTGTCTTATTCAATCTATATAATGAATTTCTTGCTTTGCAAGTTTTAATTCCCGAGGACTATTTTCTGGTTTAAAATGATTGTTTCTTTTTATATAGCATCATGTTATTTAATTAGTGCAACATCTTAAATCTCTGACAATTATAATTTTAAAAACTTAAAAGTTCTTTAATGTTCCCTGAATTATCTGTTTCCTCTCTGATCAGTTGCTTGGTACTTTGGTCTCTTTCTTCACATATGATAAGTGTTCTTTCAGTATCTGTTGATAATTCCAAGTCTAATTTTTGAGTGAACATTAGATCATTGGGTACATTTTCTCTGCAAAGATCTTTATAGATCTTAGAATTAAGAGCTGTTTATGTTTTTTAATAAATAAGTAGATTTTCTTGCCAAGTCAATTAGAGGCCTGCATGAGGGTGGCTTTACTTTCATGATAGTAGCATTGGATAGTCAGTACTGTATTTTACTCATGGGAAGAGTGGCATTTTCTTTGAAACTTTTCAAATTCACCTCTGTTCCCTTAGACATACACTGTCTGTCTGCATGAGGCTGAAGAACTACTTAAAATCCTAGTCTTCTTTGATGCCCTCAACAGTAGGAGTTTCTAGGAAGATTACATTTTTCTTAGACAACAATTCTCCATTTTAGTTTCAATGGATCATTTAGAGAAAGGAAAGGTAGCTATGAGCTTTAGGGCTGATGTCATGTAGTGCTGTTTTTGACTACACAGTATATAGATGCTTTGGTGACTGATAAAACACACTTGTCTAAAGCTTCTACTAACAATGTAGTAAGTTTTGTTGTGATGTGTTTTCTCAATCAAGGAATTACAAACCTACACATATTTCCATCTGGGGTGAATGGGACCCTTTGTTGTTAAAATTATTGGGAACATCTGTTTTAACTTTTGTTTTGAGACTTAGGATGTGATATGTACATACTCAGTGACTTCAAGCATTGTATCTACTTGGAATTCCCCTCTAACCACCACTAATTGCCAGATCCTACCATCTTAAAGGAGTAGCTTACCAATGAATTTCTTTTTGAAGGTTTATTTCATGCTCCAAGACATCTTTGTTATTTCCTAAATACTCCACCATTCCCCAGCAATTGTCATGTTATACAACAGTGTTTACATTCTCCTTTATTGCATTCTAATCTTATTCATATTTTTTAAAATATACCTATCACAGAATGAATATATGGTGGCTTATATTCAATTAGAGACTGCTCTTGATTTATAGTGATTGTCACAAAAGAAGGCCATAAAAGAAGAGGTAGATCAGTTATCCATATCATTCCTGGTGTTTTAAAAAATCTGTATAGGAGAAAGTTGCTACTTATAAATGTCTGCTATGATTATTTGTTTTCCTTATACTTACAGAGGCCATCAAAGAAAAGAGTAGAGACTCTTCTAAAAGATCTTTAAGAAGACATGAGGAATAAAATGTAATTAACACTCGCTGAAGGTAAGAATTATGGCGATGAGAAGAGGATGAGTTTTTTTGTTTTGTTTTGTTTTGTTTTGAAGTTTCCTTAAAATTGGCCTTGTGTTCACTATTGCCTTTGTGTCATTTGTTCATTCATCTGTTTACTTGATAAATATTTATTGAGCGCCTAACTTGTGCCAGGCATGTGTCAGATCTTGGGGAAATGATGAACATGGTAGACAAGGCCCATTGCCCTGTGGCAGCTTGTACCTTCCTAAGCAGCTTACCACGTTGTTAACTGACTCATGGGAAATTTATCCTAAAGGCATGTCAATAGGTAATTAGTCAATGGTATTTGCTGTGTATTTCTCTTGTATTCACTCTTATGCTAGGCTTTGCAGGTAGTTTAGAAGTAAGATACATTTTATCATAAGAAATTAGGATTTTATTTTATTTTATTTTATTTTTTTGGTACCAGGGATCGAACTCACGACTGTGTGCTTGCCAGCTTGAAAGCGTGTGTAAAGGCCTGGAGGCAGCAAACAGCATTGATTTGAAGGACTTGGCTCTGCAGCATGGCAGAAGCAGAGAAGGAAGTAGGAGAGTAGCACAAAATGAAGCCGAGAAGTAAGCACTAAATCATACAGGATTTTGTTACCCTGATGGTGCTGTATAATATGGAAACCAGCCACAGGTCCTTTGCCTGCCCAAAGCCCAATCATGGTGTGACTCTCTGACTTTAATGTATTATAAACTCATTTTTGATTTTAGGTTTTGCTAACATAGACATTTATACACACCCATAGAAATAAACACAGTTATATAAATGAGCACTTGACATGATTGCTTGTGTGTTGATTATGAAGTCTTCCAATGACAAAAAGTGGGCAGTTCAGGAGGGGGCATGTACTTTGTTTTAATTCTGTAATGTCAACCAAAGGGTAAAGCAACCACATCTTAAAACAAAATGAATCTATTAAAGAAGGTAGATGTTTAAACATGGAAACAAAGGTCAAGGAAAGATTATTGTGGAAAATAAGAACTCATACTTAGTATAAAGCAATACCCTTTTGTGACTCTGCTTCAGTGTAGAGAGAGTTCTATTCTTGTATCTGGCATAGGAGGAACCTAGGTAGGAGCTCATCTACCTCTTCTAGATTTACAAAAATGAGACGAGTTATCTTATTTCTTCTTCCACAACAACAGAGCTTGCCTGGGAGAGTATATTAGCAGGCCAATTACAGCTGCATACTTACATATGCAGACAGTCTTCAATCACTAGGCTGGAGGGCAATGAGGATGTAAAAGAAGCCTAACAATAGATCATCCAAAAGTCACTGAATCTTGGCTTTTGAATGAATTGTACTGTTTTCTTGCAGCAGATTTGTGTTCCTAATTATGCCATGCTTAACTTAATATTAAAATGAGTTTTCATTCCCAGAGAAAGCACACACCAGCTGGGCAAAGAAAAAAGACGCAAAAACTGATGGAGTGATGGGGTAGGGGCAGCCATAGAGAAGTAGCCTAGGACTACATCTTTGCCATAATCATTAAGTAGCTCCCCCAACTCCTCCCAACCCCTCTAAATATGCTATCGGCACACGAGCATACATGGAAATTTGTTATTGCTAAGCCAGGAAACAAATAAAAATGGGAAAAATTTATATGTGATATAAAATTAATTTCTTGTTAGGATTATCCTGTATTTCAAAATCTAAATTATTTTTGTTGGAATATGGGGTGGGGGGAGGGAATAGATCACATTTAAAAGTGCTTGACCTCAATGGAATTTAAGCTTTAATTATCACTTAACCTAAGAAAGCTCTGCCAGTCCTATAACAGTAAGTCCCTTCAGAACCATAATTAAATTTCTGCCTGTGGGTTGTGTGGGTAAATCCTGTAAGAGGGGCAAATCAATTATATGAACATTTAAGTGAACTATAAAATCCATGGTTCCTTCTGGAGACGAGAGTTCGGAAGGTTTAGTGGAAGATTCTGGGGTTATGTCAAAAGAAAATTTTATGCTGTTCTCCAGAAGTAATGAAGATTGATTATTGTGCCTGGGAACGAGAAAGTGTATTCAGAGTCACAGAGTTTATATGCTAAGAGCTACAGACTCTCAGAGCTCAAAGATGCTGATGAAATAAGAGCTGAGATGCACTGTTTGCTTTGGGCTCTTCATAGTTGCAAATCACTCTCTGAACCCTTCATCCAGCTTTTCCTTTTTGGGCATGAGGAAACAGGGTGAAAGCTTCAACACAGTTACAGGACTATGAAGGCTCAGAGGCAAAAACGGAACCCAAGAATTCTGACTCCTGTTCTAGGGTTTTCCTCCAACATCAGACTTCCTTTCAGTTAGCAGACAGTCTGTTAATTGATCATACTTCACACCTGCAAGCTATTCTTTTTTTTTAAAATCAGATAAATGTTCTGGGTACAGTGGGAAAATCTCAGACTTTAGACTCCTACCTGTATTTGATCACTTGTTTCCCACTTGTACGGGCATGACTTCTGGGTTTCTCCATGGCCTACATTCTTTTGCTCCTTCTTGGAATAAAGTCCACACCCAGCTTGCTTTGTGATGCTGGCCGGGTGTGACTCCAGGCTTTGCAAGTCTCAGGGACTTTGACTTGTTACAAGTCCCTACCTCTCATACTGAGTTCCAGCTCTCCTGTATGTTTCCACATCCTTGTGCTTTCTTCCATCCTGGGATTGCTCACGTCCCTCTTCTAAGTCATGTCTCAGGTCTCAGTTTCAGGCTTATTTCCTAAGGGAAGTCTTCTTGGCTTCTCAAACTGAGTTGGACCCTTCTGTTATATCTCACAGTGTCTTCTCTAGCTCTTTGTGGCTATTAGTGCCATGATTCATCCATCAATTGTGAGGGTGCCTGAGATTCCTTTACTGGAATGGAAATAAGGGAAGGGTAGAGATGGGGCTTCACTGCTCGCTTCAGGATTTCAAATGCTAAGGTTCAAAGGAGGCCCATTTAATAGCATCTGAGTGAATGAATCCATCTCTCATGTCAGTTTTTTATTTTAGAAAGTGGACATAACTAACAGCGAGGGACTGTCAGTGTTGAATGGCATACTTACTTATACAGCTCAGCCGTGGCAGTATGAAACTCAATAATTGTGAATTATACCCCCTTTCTTTGGTGAGTGTCCCTAGGACACACTGATTGTTGAAATACCTAAAACTTGGAGTCATGTTCTAGTTAGTTATGGTTTAAGTGTATTTATGCTTTCTGAGTCTTTGAATGCTGGTTGCACACTGATGGTGTATGTGGCCATGCTTCATGAATCAGTGTATTTGACAAAGCAGGACATCTTGCTCCTCAGCTGGACAATATACAAGCACACACTGCAGGCATCCTTCTCTCAGGGTCAGGGCCTTATATTTGCCTCTCTTTCGGGAAACAGTTGGCACTGACCACTATCCTCTCAGCTGGAGTTGGTAGAAGGGTGGCTGTCAGATGTCATTCCTCGAACCCAGATAAAGAGGCCACTCAGATCTGTGCTTATGGGAAAATCAGGCCAGCTTTCCTTGGGGAGGGAAACTGCTTTCTCTCCCTTCCCCCAGGCTGGGACCCAGACTTCCTGTCCACAGTGCTCTCACTCCTTTCCTTCCCTTCTCAGCAGGCTCCCTGCAGCGCTGCCCCCACTGCAGCTTTGAAAACATCACAGGGAATGTAGGAGAGGGAAGAGGAATACAGAGTTTGGGCCAGAAATTCCCCCACTTTGATAAACAAAGGCAGGGAAGGCGGGGCATGCACAAGATGTAGACCACAGAGAAGGTATGTCCTTCTCTTCAGGAACAAGCTATGGATGGATCAGGTTTGGGTTTCCAGTAAAGGCAAAGGGAAATGTAATATATTTTAAGGCAATAAAATTACGGTTTAAGCACACGGAGATGGAAATTAGACTTGGAACCCAGATTTACCACTTATTATCTATGTGGCCTTTTTAATTGCTTCACTTTAAAAAATAACTATTTTCTCATCCATAAAGTAGGCATAGTTTAAGAACCTATCTTATAGGGCAGTGATTGGTAAATGTTTCCTGAAAAGTTAACATAAATATTTTAGCTTTGTCTCAATGTTCGTTGCATAGTCTTTTCTGTTTGTTTCAACACTCTAGAAATGTACAAATCATTCACAGAATGAGACCTATACAAAAATAGGAACTAAGTCAGATTTGACAATCTATTTAGGATTAGGTTAAATGAGATAATACATTTAAAATATTGATCCTAAACAGCAAATTCTCAATAAATAGGGGTTACGGGTAGCTGGGGTTGTTCCTCAGTTATAGAGCACTTGTCTAGCAACTATGAGGTCCTGGGTTCAATCTCAGTCCTGGGAAAAAATGTCTACTAACAAAGGCTATGCAAATTCATAATGGAGACTGTATAGAAGGTTTACTTAAACACACACACACACACATACACACAGCAGAACAGACATTTTACAAAGGGAAATATAACTAATACAAATTAGAATCATTCATATGATCCTCATTATTTGACTTGAAGCATCAGAAACTACACAAGGTCAAGGGGAAGGGAAATGGACATTTCTGAGTGCTGGTCTTGGGCCAGCCTTTCTCATGTCCCTTTCATGTATCCTCTCACAGCACTTCTCCTAGGTGACCTTCATCATACCGCTCACAAGAGGAGTGGGGACCCGGGGAAAGGGGCTACAGTACTTTTAGAACTCTGCCCTGTTCGCCCAGGCCCTCACACTGCAGTCTGCCCAGCTGTGCTCAGGGGCCGTCTGCCTCACGTCCCTCCTCTTTCTAATGCAGGCCCATCTGCATCATCTCTGCTCTGCACTACGTGGCCGCCTCCTGATTGGACTCTTAATGAGTGGCTCCAAGTCTCTTCCTAATTGTGTACCTCTATATAAAATGATGCTGTCACAATCTAATATAAAATCTTCATTCGTTTCCTATCATCCGCAGAATAAATTTCAAACTTCTCGGATTATATTCAAGGCATTATACCAAAGCTCCCCAATGGATATGTCAGGTATGTTGATATGCTGATTCTGCCACAAGCAGCCTAATTCGTTCCTAATTTGCTCTAACGATCATATAGAATATGATCATTGTTCTACACAGGCTTTAATCTGAAGTGAGGTGAGAAGCACCGCCTTTTAGTTTGCTGATTTACCTTTCCTGCCTTATTTCCCTCAGCTGTTCCAAAGCCCCAGTCTGCTCATTCCTCTATATAACTTCTGCACTTTTTCTAATGTCTACATTTTTCTCATATGGTTCTTTCCCCCTAGAAATCATGCTCACCATTCTGCCTACTTCTGGGCAGTTTGAAACTCTTTAAAAGAAAAACCTACAAGTTACCTCACTTTAGTAGCAATTTATCTTACCTTTTTTTTTTTTTTTAACCAGTACATGTTTGCATTACACAATGACTACATTCTTTGTAGGGAGTTGGTATCTGTAATAACACATTTTAATTCCCTTTTTGTCCCCTTTCCCTCTCTTCCCTCCATCTCCTGATCCTTTTCCCATTTGAACAAAATCTATCAACACACTTTCTATTATCTGTCTTCCCAGTTTGCTCTTTGTTTGTATTTTGAATCTCTCATATAAGAGAAGCCATGCAGTATTTAAGCTTGAGTGTTTGGTCTATTTCACCGAGCATTATGCTCTCAGTACATTCATTTTCCAGCAAATGACTCAAGTTTATTCTTTTTTATGGCAGAATAGGACACCATGGTGTACAAATACCACATTTTAAAATGTATTCATCTGTTTATGGAAATATAAGTCACTTTCAAGAGCCAGCTGTTATGAATTGTGCTGTTATAAACATTGGC